GGTACAAGCGCACCTGAAGTGGAGCGCCAACAAGGGGACATACCTCAAAGAACTCCAGTTACTGCTCACAATGAGTAACCTCTCCCTCCTTCCTCTGCTGTGTGGCTGATACAGGCGCGAGCTATATAATTGATTTGACGCACTAATACTTGAGCGTTACATTGAGACCTTCTAATATTTTGAAAGTGAAATTTTGTTGAGTGCTATATCCAGTACCAAATAATGCTTACAGCAGTTCTGTACCTTTTGCTTGAAATATTTCAGTCTGGGTAACAGTTTTACAAATAATAGTTTAATCTTGAAACTGGTATCAGATAATCTGCAATTGGGTGTAATAGGGTGGTAAGAGGGGAAATCAGGTATTTTTGCCTCTTTCTGACCATACATCCAGGGCTAGTGCTGGTGAAGGTTGTTTTGCCATGAAAGCACTTGACTTGGTCTGCCAAGGCATATGTAGGCATGGTAAATTGCTGTTGGTTGAAGGATGATTTTGTGGTTAATGGCATCAGACTGGGAGTCAAGAGACTTCTGTTCCCAGTTCTGCCACTGACTTGCTGGTTAATCTTGGGCAAATCAGTCCTTTTGCTTCGCTTTTGCCAGCTGTAAAATGGGGATAAAACGTACAACATTGCTGCGTTGAGCCTTTTTTTCATAGACTGATCGCTTTTACGGTGAGAATGGACCATTATGGCTCTAGAATTTTATCAAGTAATTCTTGCATCGACCCCAGTAATTTGTGCTTGAACTAGAGTGTATCTTTTAGAAAGTCATCAAACATGTCTTAATTCATGTCTGCAAAATGCATTGAGATGCATAATAATGTTACTAATATTACTACTTTACTATTATCAGAACTTAAATTCATTTTATTGCTATCAGTGTGCTTTTCAATCCTCAATTATGACTTGATATTAGTGATTATGTCTCAAACTCTAGAAACTAAAGACTAAGGGTCAGATTTTTAAAAATGGATTTCAAAAGTTATTCCTAATTTATAGTTAACAGTTTACACCTATTTTAAAAATATTTCTAAAATAGTTTGAACATTGATTTCTGGTTCTAAAGATAGTGGCAATTCTATCAGAATTCGTATAGGAAAAAAAAGCAAGATGATAAACTGTTGTGATGTTACTCTGATAGCTCACAACTTGCCAGGCTGTAAATGGATGTAGCATAATAGTAAACCTGAGAGCCAACTGCTTCTTTCTAATGTTACGTGGGTCATTAAATTCTAGCCCTAATATTTCAGAAGATATCCAGACTTAACTTTATCACTTGTTCCTTGCTTTTAGTAGTGCTGTTTAGATGATGGTCCAAGGCTGAATATCAGTTGTCCCAGATTTTGTACTAGTGCAGGTTTTTGTCCCCTGGGAAGTCTTAACAGAAACACATATATGCCTCCATCCCAACAAAATATGTATTTTGACTGTTTATTTGAAACACATATATTTCATATATATATTTACATTTAGATGGACCTATAAGATGTAAAGCATTTGTGGCATACGCTGCCATTTATTAAAGATGCTTGTGTATTTTCTGTGGCTATCTTTAAATACTGGCTTAGTTTCTTGTTTCAGATCAAATTTAGAATTTTTTTCTTTCAAGATTATAGTAGAAGCTTTAAATAGTTATTGTGTGCTTATATCATGATAAAGAAATGAATTCTTACGAAATGGAAGAGACTGCATACGCTAGTGAAGCAGTGACGGGAGTACAGGACTTCACTGCAATGGAAATAATTTCTTTCAAAATATAGATCAACTGAGATAAAATAAAATTTGGTCTAATTTTTTGACCTATGTGAATTGGCATAAATTATATGCCTGCTGCTAAATGTGTTTCCTACCTGTTCTCCTTTTCATGCATATATGTATGTATTCTCAGTGTTATAATTTTAAATTAAGGATTTAAAAGATGGGGGTTCTTTGAATAAAACTTCTTGAAATTTGTTGATCTTTACAAAGACATGCAACACGGCCCTTCCTTGCCCTTCCCCTTCATGTCATGGTTTAAGAAGTTGTAGCCCTACAAAGACTTTTCAAATCTGCTGTCATTATTTTGGAAGAGGATGTTAGAACACTGCCCTTACTTGGTACCTGCTGCAAAATGACAGGTAAGAAAAAATACACAGGAGGGAATGGGAAGCCTTGAGTTTATGTGTATAAAGCAGCAATATTAAAATATTCTGAAAATTATTTTAATACTTTAACATAAGGAATGCATTTAAATAACTTAAATATTGCTTACTTTGAAATGCTGATCTGATTTATGAAATACGGATAAACTCAGATTATCGGTAATTCAGATTATGCAAAATTCAGAAATATATCCTGAACTATAATTTTGTTTTCCCAAATTTTATAGTTTGCTGAAATTCAAATATGTCCTCTTAGCAATTAAGATATCCAGGGTTCAGCTACACTTAAGTACTTTTTGTATGCTGGAAAATTTGTGCTTGTTTTGTAATTTTTTACATAGTGTTACTAAAGTGTAAATACAAGTAAACCTTCTCCTAGACTTGATCTACATACAAATCTTGCACTAGTTTAACTAAACTCAGTTTTAAAATTCATGTAAACTGGTACAAAACTTTTCATGGAATGACTTAAATCTGTTTGCCGAGTAGCTTATATCAATATAGTTGAATTTGATAAGGGATTGTTTTAAATTATAATGTAGAAATCAGTTGTAGGTCAAGTTTGCTGTTTGTACAGTGCCTACCAGTGGAGGCCTAGCCATGACTAGGGCTCCTAGGAACTACGATAATACAAATAATAATTTAAGTAGATCCATGTTTGTGCTAGTTTAACTAAATCTATTTCAAAATAGACTTTAGGTAAATCAGTGCAAGTTCTGTTTGTAGATCACACTTTAATCTATGTTTCTGTAACTGGAAAAATCTATCATTCAAAATACTGTTGGAACATAATTTTTAAAAAATTCCTTAAGTTTATAAGCACAATTTTAAGACCGTGATTGATTGCACTGACTTTAGGTCCTTTTCGTTCTAAAATTTAATGATTTATTTTTCATTTGAATCTAATTATGTCACAGCTACACCTCAGAATGTTTGCAAGTGAGAGATTACCATGTTGGGGAGAAGGTTGTATATTCTCAGTCTCCCTCTTTGAGCAACTTTGTATTTCATAGCTATCTAATAATAATATAAAATATAATGATATGCTTGTGTATACTTAGCAGTTAAGTGTAAGATTGATTGGTATTAATTACTGTGTGTGACCTTTTTGAATGGAGAAAGCCTCCTTATTCCTTTCAAGATACCATTATCTCACATTGATAGTGTGGAAATTGTATCAAAGTCCCCTCGTTCATATGTAAAGTGTATAAAGAACTATTGTAAATACACACTGCTGTTTTCTAATAATTCCAGCAGATATTTGTAATGAATTCTTACAAAAATCACTTGGTGATGCATCAAAGTATTCCACTGATACATATTTTAAATCAACAGTCTGACCACAAATTTCATTCTCAGCAGAATAAACCAACAATTCAGACTCATTTCTGCCAATCTTGAGATCTAGTAGACCCAGATTCAAAATGTACCCATTTAAGACCAGTTGTTTCATATACATTTATTTTAAAATATACCATTTCAGTTATATTTATATATATTTTGGGGGGAGGGATAGCTCAGTGGTTTGAGCATTGGCCTCCTAAACCCAGGGTTATCAGTTCAATCCTTGAGGGGGCCATTTAGGGAACTGGGGTAAAAATCTGTCTGGGGATTGGTCCCCCTTTGAACAGGGGGTTGGACTAGATGACAGCCTGAGGTCCCTTCCAACCATGATATTTTATGATTCTACAACTTAAAATCCATAAAGCGTTTTATAAATATTATGTCTTGTATCACATCTTCATTACACATCACATGGCAAATGGAAATCTTTGTGATACAAACTGCATTGTCTTTGCTTTTTCACTGATCTATTAAAGTCAGTTTTTTTAACAGTTTATTTTTGCTGGTCAGATCCAAAGCCCATTGAATACATTGGGAGGCTTTGCATTGACTTCAGTGGGCTTTAGATCAGGCTCTAAATTTAGGCAAAGTAGTTTTTGCTAACAATTGTAAGATGCATGGTCTGACATCTAGAAACACCTGACTACAAGTAAATAAATTGTGGGACTTTTCAAGAATTATTATTTTTAATGTCCAAAAATGTACAGAGTGCTGTAAATTCCATTCTATCTTCAGATTTACATTTCAGTTGAATTACGTTGCGTAAAGCTCTACAGCTGCGTTTCAGGTTTCATAAATATTTTCAAATAAGTCCAAATATCCTTCAGAAAGTAATTGCTTTAAATCCTGGCATGAATAAAATATGATCTAATAAAAGACTAAATATAGAGAATGAAATCTTTTCCTTGGGCATGCTGTCTTTTATCCCCACTGACATTTGCTTTAACACTATTAAATCTCCCACCATTTTTCCTTATGATTAAAAGTTCCCCTAGAAAGAAAATAGTACTATATTTACATTTCCTCATTCCTTTCAAGAATGATAATTTTGCAGATATCTCCTAATCTGTAAACTAAAAACTGTAAAACAGATGGAAAATATCTTTTCAACTCATAAGCCCTTCTCTGCCAATAAAAATGCCTTATTTGGCATCAGTTGACCCAGTATTTACCCTTGGTATATACAACAGTTTAATTTTGGTCTGTACTGTGTAATTGTTTTAATTATTCCTTCAGATATCCCGTCTTCTCTCAGCTGCCTGTTGAGATACATTTGTTGTTCTTAAGGAACAAATTATGCTTGTTTTATTGACAGTAATGCACCAGTTGGTTTCAGTAGGGTCTATACTCATGTTTAAGTTGAGCAGGATTCAGCCCTGAATGAATAAGAAATACTTAAGTGAAAGTGATAGAAAGCTAAGGGAAACAGTCAATGGTTGACAATTTTTAAAATGTGTATCGTATTTTTTTATTGATACTTCAGCAACCAGCGTTGTTCTCTGTCACCTTTTGCTAGGAAATCAAATGGACAAAGCAAATACGAACACAGCTGTGCGGAATATCTGGCTGAAGGTTTCTTTTGGATAACATCTGTTTCCCCAAATACGTAATCACAAAGGGGAGTACATGTCCTGAGTGCATCTCAAAAATGGAGTTCTTCTTTTCTGTGTGGTGGATAATGGGTATCATAAAGTGATTGTTTTTCCTGCTGGCTAAGTCAAAGTGCCATATGGCCCACTTCAATGGAAGTCTATTTACTCTGCAGTTCTGTATCTTTAGGTAAATTTTATGTAGACACACAGTAAAGAGGTGGGTCAGGATGGAAGGGGAGACCAGATATAAAGATTACAATTAACATTGTCATTTATGTTACGAAAAAAGTAGGAAGTAACCTCGGCCTGTTCACTCAACCAATTTAATGAAGCTGTGTAAGGAATTATGTCCGGGGAGAATGAGGGCAAAGTACAATGTTAAAACAGAAATACAAGATTCAGAAGGTGCTTGGCTGTAAGTGATGAGTGTGGTATAAAATCACAGATAGACTTCTGCTATGTGTTTGGGATTTTAACTAAGAGAGTCATACCAAAATTGTGTATTAATTTTTAAGGAAATAATATATTTTAAAGAAGTTCTTAATTAAACTAAACATACCAATATTTGCAAGTTATGTGCAACTCATGCACTGAAGAGCTAATGCTTTCATTAGATTACTGAAGAGAATAACACCATACCTTCCTGAGCCTTAGAAGGAAGTAATATTTTGCTGCAGTAGTATGCTTGCAAAGAGTCAAGAGTGTTTAGATCTTACATTCATTCTACTCTCTTGACATAGAGCATATTTTTCGTGCTGTCAACTTCATAAGTGTTTAAATAATATTTAAGTATTACTACTTATTGAGTAAGTAACCACATCCTGGTATTAAAAACCAAAAACAAACCTCTTTAGCTTAATTAACATGATGAAACTTCCAGTTATTATACCGAAAAGTGATCTTTCCTCATCTGTGCACTCCATCTAGCTATTATAAATCTCTGAGCTCAGCTGTTGCCATCAGAATACTCCATCCAGTCCTCACTAACAAAGAGTAATTACTTTTTAATTAAATTCTACCCCACAGTTTAGGTTAGAGTGACAGGGAGGGGCCAGAGTTGAGAGGCATAGTTTATTATGGGGATTTGGTTCTGATGAGAGTAGCCAGTCAGAGCACAAAGGGATATAATCATAGTTATTGAACTGTATGGCTATTAAAGTGTAGGGATCACTAGCATTGTAATATCCCTGTGCTCTCACCAACTGAGACAATTCTGTTTCAATATTATACATGCTTTTTAATTAAAAACATTTTGTGTAATCAATTTAATGATGGAAAAATGCACTCTTTAAAACATCACTTATTACAGATTTGTTTATTGGGATTCAGATTGCTGAAAGCCACTGATACTGATTTGCTATGAGAGGAAATCCGACGAAGTGGGCATTCACCCACGAAAGCTTATGCTCCAATACATCTGTTAGTCTTAAAGGCGCCACAGGAGACTCTGTTGGTTTGCTATGGTTACAAGGATGATACCTACCTATTTATTTTGCCCTTGTGGTTAATCCAGTTTTAGCTAGCCTCACTTTTGGCCAAAGAGAACAGTCCTAAAGCAGGACTGACCAACATTAGCCCATATATAGTAGGTGAACTATTACCTGGGGCCTCAGATGGAGATTGGCTATTATGGAGGAAGGCAGATTGAGGGCTCTTATCTGTTAGTGTGGTACATGAGAATGTGGAAGTTGTGAAGATTCCATTGCTTGTAATGAGTGTACAGGATAGTTTTTGAAGCTGGGAGGGTAGTAAAATTTGGAGGTTTGCTACGGCGTCTTTTGGAGGCTGGTTCATATTGGGAAAGTTACTTGTCATTGTGTCTTAAACCTTTCACCCTTCCTCCTCCTTTCCTATCACCTATGTCTGAACCCCTCATGCTTCAGCCAGCCTTCACCAGCATCACTGGTCTCCGTAACTTGACCTTGTGGCCCAGTTGAACCTGTGCTGAGATGCACAGCATTTCTTTTTTAAATCACATCCAGACCCTTTCATGTATCAGATATGTGTGACAGGTACTTCTGACAGCTCTTTATTCTGATCCTGCAGCATTTAATGTATTTTGGAGGATTTTAAAATAATATCTGAATGTGAACATCTACAATGGAAGGGGAAATTATTTCAACTGTGCATTTGAAAGTGAAACAAAAATGGCTGATTATGAGAATCCAGAATAAGGGTCTACTACTAATTTGAATAGGATACATATATCCTGGGTGTGATATCCTTAAGATTAAGGAGGTTTATGGAAAAGGACTAAGATTTGGTTAGGTGGAATGCGGGAGGGATTTGTTTGTTTGTTTCCAGATGGAGAGAGAGGTTTTAAAGATTAAATGAGATGCGGAGGTTGATGAACAGGATCGGAGGTGTGTATTGGGCAAGTGTTGAAATGGTCTTTTGAAGCTTGCCCAGGAAATGTGGGAGCCTAGTTCCAGCAGCTTTGTTCCTTCAATAACTACTTCTAGGTGGCTAAGTAAGTGTAATAATGCTATCATGCACTGAGAATCTGATAGGAAGTTGAGGGGAACTCTCTGCAGGCTTTGGGTTCCTCAGGCTTTGTGGTGGTGGGTAGTGGGAAGATCAGGCAGGTAATAGCAAAAAGAAAATCATAGTTACAGGCTAAAATGCATAATCTCTGTTTTATTAGCTTTGCTAAGTATAGACATGGAAACATCAAATGATGGCTCACAAGGAGCTTTGTCTTTACTTAAAGTTGGTGTATAGATTTCCCTACTGCACCCCATTATTCCTTAGCTGAATTTTAGGTACCTCACTAAAATGGTGTTGGAAGTGATGGCGAATAGTGAATAGTGATGATGCTCAGAGACTTCAATATCTGTCCAAATGACAGTTCATCTAGATGGATCAAGGAGTTTGAGACAGTTATGGAAATTATCCCACATAGTTTTTGGCTCTATATGTATAGCAACATAACTAATGTTTGGAGGTTGGAGATGTAACATTTATGTCCTTATGGGACAGTCATTACCGCCTGTGGTTTGAGGTTGGGGTTCTCCTTTATTCCACTGCGGGGAAGGGAAATGATTTGATAGTCCATTCAAGGATTCATGGGCTCTGTGGGCATGTGTTGTACAGACAATGGGCATACTTGAAGGTCTTTGATGGGAGATATTTTCTCCATGACTAGTGATAGAAGGCTCCTAAATGCCTTCTCCTATAGTTTTGTCCTTACATGTCATCCTGGTTTTCAGATAGCTCGCAGTGGATGAAATGAGAGAGCACAGACAGTGTCAGTACTGGAAGTCCTGAGTGGAGACCAGCCACATATGATATAAATAATTTTAAAACACTTAATCCATGGCTGTGTAGGTGAGAGTTCCTTTGCTTTAACTATAGATCTGTTGTCTGAGGTTTTCAGAACCCACAGCAGTGGTAGCTTCGCTGTTTCACTTCAGGTGATGTCAGGAATAAATCAGTGGGAATGCAGCCAATCCATCTGATGGTAATTGATACAAGTGTGCTCTTGTCTAAAACTGCAGTTTATTAGATTTAAGCACACACAGACATAAGCAATAGGTTTAGAACAGCCCAAATATTTACCTAAATTCTGGTACAATATTGAGTAATTAACAGCAGGTCCATGATGGCCATTCGCTTCCACTTCAGGGAGTAAAGGTGTCAGAAAAAAAGTCTCTCCTCAGACAGCTCCAGAGGACTGCTCTAAAATACACTACATTAGCTAATTTTTTATAACTAATTTTTACAAAACACATAGGTCATAGTGACCGCTACTGGGTCATCACTTTTCAGAAACCTATGTATCTACAAAGATTCCTAACAATCTTAGTCATAATAAACCTATATTGAAGGTGCCCAGATTTAAGGGGTTTTGTCCACTTATTTTATTTCAGTCTCAGTTTTAATAACTTTTCTCCCTCCTCTCCTCCTCTCTCTAACCCTCTCCCCAATTCTGATTAGCAGAACCTGCCAGCATACAGCTAGCATTTGACCTTGCCTTCAAAAGCCTGCTTATTCCAATGCTGGGTGGGTTCTATTTTATTAATTCACCGTGGGTGAATGTGCATAATATGGTTGCAATTAGTAATCACATTCTGGGGTCCACAGACCCCTCAAATCCAGGGCAACACTGCAAAGTCTCTCTCAGCCAAATTCTACAGCAGCAGTGAATAGTTTGGTAATTGTGAGCTGTCTTCATCTGGGACCAGTTGAGTTTTTCTTAGCAAGGATTTTTCTGGTTACATTGCAAATAAAAAAAAAAAAACTGGGATTTCACATGGAACTTGCCATATCTGAGGGTGCAGAGCAGTGTCTTAGTATTCAAAAGCCAAGTCCTCTCTGCTTGATTGAGTTTTGACCAGTGTTACTCACTAAACACCTGGAAATGTTGGGGCACCAGCTTATTGCACCATTGTCCCCTTTGTCTGATAAAAGTCAGTAGTGAGAAATGGGTACTTTAATGGAGATTATCAATTCCTCCTTATCTGAGGATGGAGTTGGGACTGCTACATAGAAAGGAAATCAAATTTTGACCCTGATAATCTCATCTAGGATGCAGTTGAATCTCCCATGTATGGAAAAGTTTACAGAAGGTGGCAGTGAAGCAGAATGGCAATATTTCCAATATCAGAGGAGTAGCTGTGTTAGTCTGTATCCACAAAAACAACAAGGAGTCTGGTGGCACCTTAAAAACTAACAGATTTATTTGGCATAACCCTGGTCAGTCTGTGTTTAGACCTGGATGTGGGATAGAAACTGCACTAGTGTTGTTAGTTGGTGTTCTTGTGGGTAGAGTATTGAAGGCATGCCCAGGCTGATTTTATTAGAGAGATGTATGTATATAGTCTACTTTTGATACACTTGATCCTGAGATAGTGCTGCTAGATAGTAGTGGTAGTTCTTTGTAGTATGAGCCCTTTAGAAGTGCTAGTAAGACTATATGGGCTATAGTGTCTGCAGTAGGCAGAGGATACCCAGCTGAATAATTACATTATGGCTAGTTTCACGGGTGTAGTGGAATGGATGGCCAGATGTCTATGGAGAATGGGATGTGAATGAAGACTAGCTAGTTGAGGATCAGTCTAGATCACGCAGAAATAAAGAAAGAAGATGAGCGTTAAAAGGGGCTCTTTTTTTTTTCTAATTAAGTTTTGGGGCCAGATTGATTTGTGGGGGCGGTGGATTTAAACCAGGGGTCGGCAATGTTCGGCACGCCGCTCACCAGGGTAAGCACCCTGGTGGGCCGGGCCAGTTTTATTTACCTGCTGACGCGGCAGGTTCGGCCAATCGCGGCCCCCACTGGCCGCATTTCGCCGTTCCGGGCCAATGGGGGTGGCGAGAAGCGGCATGGGCAAGCGATGTGCTGGCCGCGGCTTCTCGCCGCCCCCATTGGCCAGGGGCCGTGATCGGCCGAACCTGCTGCATCAGCAGGTAAATAAAACTGGCCCGGCCTGCCAGGGTGCTTACCTTGGCGAGCCGCGTGCCAAATGTTGGCGACCGCTGATTTAAACGGTCTGAATTTTTGATGATTCTGAATGTTTAGTGTTCTTAGGGGCACCCAGAGTTTGGGATGCATACCCTGTTAGTTTTTAAAATAACTAATTACTTTGACTCTTTTGTGCTTTATGGTAACATTCATTATAAAATATTAATTATAATTTTATTTCTGTTAAAAGTACTAACTTGTATTATGAATTGCTCTTTAAAGTTGTGGCTGCATTTATATTTAAAATGAGCAAATCTTGTATTTAAGTTGAATATATATTTTTCTAAAGAATTTTAAACCACAAATGTCTTAAACTTGAGTATTAGTCTTTACAGTTTAATATTAAAGATCTACATGGATTAAATGTATCATATTTAAATATATTAAAATATGATTCTGCTCTGAAATGTTGCAAAAAATATGGTGGTTCCTTATGCCACAGATTTGCTTCCTGTTTGTAATTCAGAGAAATCTGCTGATTTTAGATAATGTTTACTGCTTTGTATATCTGCTAGTTATATTCATTCTGTGGAGCTAGAGGGGAGGGAGCTGAATTCTATTCCTGCTTGCACACTAGCAGCAGAATTATGTACAACATTGCAATACACTTGTGAAATTCCACTGAAGGCACTGGGATTGCACAGATATTACTGAGGGCTTGCTTTGGCAGAATCTTCTACTAGTGGTAACATGAGAAGGAAAGAACCTAGTTTTATTCTCAAATCCTTCAGTGTGTTTGAGTGAACAAAGGGAACTAATGTCATACACATTTTTCATAGTAGAACTGCACTTGGAGCTGAAATGTTCATAGCAATATAATGACAAAGGAACTCATAATGACTGAAACACCAACTGGCTGTTGGCTGACTGGTACAAGAACAGATTTTAAAGATCTTAGTAATTAAGAGTAGGGAAAACTGCTTATAGTGGAGGCAATGGTAATATAAGAATGGTTAGAGATGAAAATGAATTTGTGAGGAGGTAATTTCAATTTTGGTCACAAGTTGTGTCCTACAATAATTCTACCTTTTAAAAGTTCATATGTTAGGGAAGGGAAGAATTACTGTACTTTGAACAATATGGGGCCCACTACTATGTAGGTAATTGTTTTATTTTGCTTAAAATTCCACAGATATTTAATTGACGATAACTACGTTTTTTTTTCTAGGTTAAAATTAAAATGCTAAAATGCAGATGAAGATCGGTTTAAAAAAAAAGTTCTGCTCTGTCTAAGAGTACAGAAGGTCAAGATCCTGAAGCCTTTTTTTTTTTTTACTTTCAGGTATGTATTTGCACTTTTGACTTTTTATTTAGTAATTACTGACAGTTATGAGACCGTTGGGTTTTTTTGTTTTTGCATTTAATTTGATGAAGTAATTTGTTCACACACTTCCACCAGTACCTTTGAATCTTATCTTCAGGTAACAATTACTATATCCTTTAACACTTACCATTTCTGTCAACCATTATGTTAACAGACTTAGTCTTTTAATATTTTCTTGAATTTGTGTTTCCCTTTTGCTTCCTCTGTGAGGAGAGGGCTTGAGTAACAGTATGTTGATCTAATACATATACAGGACATATATAAGACTAGTGTTGTGGAATGCACAATGTGTAAATACATGTTGTGGCACCAAGTTCTCCCACTTGGTCTAAAACTGAAGCTTTGTGTATATTACAGGTTGCACCAGTTTAACTAAAGGTGTGTTTTTTAAATTGATTTAAAGTGGTCCAAACTCCTATGTGGACACCTCAATTTAGCATAAATCAATTCATTAAACTAAATCAGTATAAACCAGGTTTAGAGCATGCAGGCTTGCACTGCTTTAACTGAAAGTCTGTTTTTTTAAGATCAATATAGTTAAACAGCTGCAACTTGTGATATAAACAAGGCCTAAGATAGATTCTATGAAAATTTCATCCATTCTAAAATGTGTCTAATCTCTGAAGATACTCAACAAACAAATGTTTGATTCACATATATGTTGAAAGATAACTGGAGTTTTATCTGTTATGGCATCTCCCATAAAAATAGAACAAAATATTCCAGATTTTTACAAAAAAAAATACATTATGGAGATGAGATCATTGTGATTGCTTGGATACAGTGATGTTTGATGTTTCATTACTTAAGAAATCTTAAGCAAAATTTGCAAAGGTTGAAATGATCAGTCAGGATGAGTTCAGATAGATAATTATTTCTCTATCTGTTTTTATACTCTGCCTGTCCCTGTGGGGTGAGAGAGCCTTCCCTCCCAGTGGTTTTGCCATCCTCAGTAAGTAGATAGGGAGAGGAGAATTAAGAATAGCCTAGTGCACCATGAATATGGGGTGCAGTGGAATACATAAGATTAAAGGGTGAGGCTGATCAGGGATTTTAAAGCCAGTATATTAAGGTTATGGACAAAAGAGGTGTGGATGAGAAAAAGTAAAACTTGGGGAAAGTTGCATTGCCAGGAAATGGATCTAACAGGTCCCTCCATTTCTAACTGCTGATTCTGTTGGGATGGGGTTTGTAAAGGGAGGGGAAGCTGAAGGGAGATGTCAAAAAGGAAAAAAAGGGACAAGAGAAGAATTCTAGGGCAATGGATAGGGTGAGAGCCAAGGTGGTGTTTTTGAGGAACACTGAGGCACCCCACCACAACCTGTACAATCAAGCTAACATGCTGGAAAATTTGATTCACAAAGTATATGAATGAATATAAGCATTGGAAAATCGCATGTGGAATCCTAGAATTATTCTGTTTTGGGAATGAAAATTAGGACTTTTGATACAGGATCAGTCTCCTGCTTATTTCCCCCTATAAGCTTGAGTCTCCTATTCCTACCACTCCTGTGGAGTTGCCGCTTTCCCATGTGCCCCTATCACTCCTAGGGAGAGAACTTCAGTTTTCAGGGCTGTATATGCATAATCTTTCATAAACTCCTAATTCACTGGGTAAAAAATAGGGCTGTCAATTAATCACAGTTAACTCACCGGATTAATTTAAAAAAATGAATCACGATTAATCGCACTTAATAGAATACCAGTTGAAATTTATTACATATTTTTGGATGTTTTTCTACATTTTCAGTATTGATTTCAACTACAACACAGAATACAAAGTGCAGAGTGCTTGCTTTATATTATTATTTTTATTACAAATATATGCACTATAAAAACGATAAACAAAAGAAATAGTATTTTTCAGTTCACATCCTACAAGTACTGAAGTGCAATATCTTTATCGTGAAAGTGTAACTTACAAATGCAGATTTTTTTTTTTTGTACATAACTACATTCAAAAATAAAACTGTAAAACTTTAGAGCCTACAAGTCCACTCAGTGCTACTTCAGCCAGTCGCTCAGACAAAACAAGTTTGGTTACAATTTGCAGGAGAT